ACCTCATTAGACCCAAAAGGAACCATAGCAAACCAGTTTAGTACCCAGTTTTCAGACCATTTAAGACCACATCAGACCACATGTTTCTAGGCATTTCTAGCGTGTTTCTAATTGTTCTGTTTCTAAGTGTCATTACTTGTTAGGCATTGTAAGCATGTTACTTCGTGTTGCTAACATAATTTAACAGACTTGCTAGATTTAGCTAATGTTTTAACATGTCCAGAACATGTTTTAACACACTGCTAGTATGTTTTAACAAGTTTCTAACATGTTTTAGCATGTTACTAGCATCGTTTATCATGTTCCTGCCATGTTTAGCATGTTTCTAACACGTTTTTAGCATGTTGCTAGCATGTTTTACCACTGTTAGCAATTTTTAACACGTTGCTATGTCCTAAGCTAGAGGCTTTACACAGTTTCCTGAAAGCTTTTTAGTCAATTCAGTAACACTTTCTATGATGCCTGTATTTATAATACATTATAAGGGCATTCTTAAGGCATTACAATGAATGCATAATGCATTATAAAAAAACCTTATAATATTTTGTATCATCTCATAATTAATCATAACAACAGTTATAATACTTGCGCATTTGTGGTTATAACTTTTAAGAGTATGATTATTTATAACACACAATGAATACCATATTAAATCCACTTAATTTATAATGGATTATCTCATATCGTGACATTGTTTATTTAAGCTCTGCACATTATCTTTCTACATCTTGTGAGTGGTTAGGAGTGGTTGAGTGTTTTTGAGGGTTTCCTGTGAGGTTAATGTTAATTTTACTGTGAGTTAGTTTCAAATGAAAAAAAAAATGCAGTGTTTATATATATATATATATATATTAGATTACATTTTATTTTGATGGTCCCCTTAGTCTATTGACTTTAAGCAACTTTGCAACTACATGTCAACTAACTCTCATTTAGAGTATTAGTAGACTTAGGTTAAGGTTAGGGTTGATAGAATAAGTTGACGTACTTGCAAAGTTGCTTACAGTCAATTGAACGTCTGTTGGGAACCATCAAAATAAAGTGTTAGCAGATATTTAGCAGACATACTACTAAAACTCCAATGACTGCTAGTTGACTTGTAGTTGCAAAGTTACTTATCAACAGTTGGGTACCATCAAAATAACCATACTGATATTACAATAAAAATAGTTCAATGCAAATGTGAACACATTCATCTGATCTGATCTTATGGCTGTTTAAGAGAGAGAGAAAAAGAGTATTATTAGTAGTAGTATTAATATTAGCATTATTTATATGTGGTCTTTGTCTGCTTTAAGTAAAGTGAAGTTACTTTACTTAAAGCACATAGACCACTTATACTGTAAATAATAAGACCACATTATAAAGCCTTTTGGATGTTTTCATGAAGACTTTGTATTTGTCATTTTACAGTAAAAAACACTAATAAGATGTACTGTTACTGTAATGTACAAGTTATTGTTCAGATCTTAAACAATGGCAAGATATGAGACTTATAATACATTATGGGAAATATAATTCATTGTAACTTAAGTGGATGCAACATGTTCATTGTGTGCTATAAATCATCATACTCTTAAAAGCTAAAATAACAAACAAGTACACTCTAAAAAATGCTGGGTTGTTTCAACCCAACTTTGGGTCAAATATGGACTAACACAACTTTTGGGTTAAATTTTTACATTAAATTTTTAACCCAAAAGTTGGGTTAGTCCATATTTGACCCAAAGTTGGGTTGAAACAACCCAGCATTTTTTAGAGTGTAGGTATTAGAATACATTAAAACTGTTCTTATGATTATTTTTGAGATGATACAACATATAAGGTTTTTTATAATACATTATTCATTCATTATAATGCCTTAAGAAAACCCTTATAATGTATTATAAATACGGGCTTCATAGAAAGTGTTACCGTGAATTCAAGGAAATGATTCCTAAAACTAGAACAAGGTAAAACGTGGCTTATACTCCAGTGTGTTTTTAGCTTGTGATTTATTCAAATGACAGATTCATTTATTGATTCGCAAATAGTTTGCAGTGAATAATTATATTTTTTAAAACCAGTATTTTTCCCCCAGTTAAATCCCTTTATTTCTTATACTTGAGATAAAAAAGGATCAGTACATTTGTAAAAACATCACCCAACCCTGGGGTTGTTTTGCATTGAAAAGCGTACGTATAAAACATAATCTATAAATGACACAAATTTAGATTGAAGAAAGCCTAACTTTTAACTTGCATCAAAATATTTTTAATAAATGTATGCAATAAACATAGGCTACACCTGGGCAAGAAAAGCCTAGGCCTATAATAAGCATCTACTCTGCCTTTATCATCAACTTAAAAAATAGTACGAGATGTATAGTGTAAAATATTGTATTGTTCAGGTGTAGTAGGTTTTTATATTTATTTATGTTTTTCCCACAATAGAGCAAATCATTTCAAGGGAGAATTAGAAAACCACAAACAAGCAACAAGTGTTTAACATGTACTGTAAAATTTGTTGTACTGATGACACACGGTGTCGCTGCCGGTTTTTTTTTTTCTTCCTGCTTCTCTTCTTGTCAGTCGATATAATAAAAAAACCACGTGAAACTTCAACAGGTTATGGGCCCAGGTCTTCGCTAAAAAGGTGCTTTTTTACACAGGATTTTTTTTTTTTTGTGACATAGACAGTGTTGTGGAACTCACAATGGAGGATAGACTGTTTATTGAAAAGCTAAGCGGGCCAGAGAACTGGGCAACGTGGAAATTTCAAATGGAGCATTTGATGAAAGCAAAAGGACTATGGGGCATGGTGGTGGAGACTGACAACGTGCCAGAGGGAGCAAATGCACAGACAAGGGCAGAATTCGAAAAACGGAAAGAAAAAGCGTTTTCTGTGTTGGTGCTGAATGTGAGTACACCACAATTATATCTGATAATAAGCTGTAAGACCCCTAAAGAAGTGTGGGAAAGAGGGACATATCAAGCGTGACTGTCCAAGTAAGAAAAAAAGGAATAAAACCCACAAGGCCAAAAACGTAACATGTGAAGATGCAGAAGACTCGTCTGAGAGTGCTTTTATCGCTAAAGAGGCAAACCAGGATAAAATGATGCAACAAAACGAGTGGTTGATCGACTCTGGAGCCTCAAAGCACATGACATGTCATGTCGCTAAGGGATACTCGCAGAAGTATGGTGCTGACTATGATGAAACATTTTCACCTGTAGTAAGATTTAGTTCAATTCGTACGTTGCTGTCCTTCGCCGTCCAGAATAATCTACAAGTGCATCAGATGGATGTGGTAACTGCATTTCTAAATGGACACCTGGACGAGGAAATCTACATGGAGCAACCAGAGGGATTTGTCAAATCAGGGGAGGAACATTTGGTATGCAAACTGAAAAAGTCAATATACGGGCTGAAGCAGTCTCCTCGCTGCTGGAGCAAAACTTTCACAGAGTTCATGAAGAACATTGGTTTCAAACAGAGTACATCGGACCCATGTGTGTTTGTGAGATGTCAACAGGAGCTGGAGATATTGGCTGTATATGTTGATGATCTGATCCTGATCACGGAGTCGATAGAAAGCATGAAAGAGCTGAAACTTGCTCTAAAGAAGCACTACAAGATGAAGGACATGGGAGAACTTTCCTATATCTTGGGTATCCCTGTCATCCAAGACAAGGAGAGAAATTGTGTGTTTCTTCATCAGAAGCATTACATCGATGCCATTCTTCAAAAATATGGCATGCATGATGCCAATCCTTTTGCAACTCCAACTGATGCAAATGTGAAGCTAAAAAAGAATGACGGTGTAAGCAAGCCTGTGAACTCAAGTACTTACCAGTCCATGGTAGGTAGCCTACTGTATGCTGCAATGGCCACACGACCTGACATAGCACAAGCAGTGAGTGTTGTATCAAAGTTCAACGCTAATCCAAGTGCTGCGCATCTGACGGCGGTGAAGAGGATTCTATGGTACTTGAAGGGTACCCTGAATCTTGCTCTCAAATATGAGCGGTCAGATTCTGGAACTTTGATCGGATACTCAGATGCTGACTGGGCTGGTGACCAGGACGATCGTCGCTCGACAACTGGCAATGTGTTCTTACTGGGTGGAGGAGCCGTGAGCTGGCTCAGCAAGAAACAGTCAACTGTTGCTCTTTCGACAGCAGAGGCTGAGTATGTTGCACTTAGTCAAGCAGCTCAGGAATGTGTCTGGCTTAGAAGACTACTGAGTGATCTTGGAATGCATGTCACACCTGTAGTGATTCTGGAGGACAACCAAGGAGCTATTGCAATCGCAAAGAATCCAGTTGACCATTCACGGACTAAGCACATAGACATTCGCTATCATTACATTCGTGAGTGTGTGCAGAATGGTCAAATCCAACTGCAATACTGCCCTACAGATGACATGAAGGCAGATATCTTGACCAAGCCATTAGTAAGACATAAATTTGAGTATTTTAGGAGTGAGATTGGATTTTGTTTCATTTAATTCAATCTAGCGTAACAGTAAATAGACTAGACTGTGTTTAGTGTTAAGTGTGTTACGATACAAAATCTGTTAACATGGTAAAAAGACAAAGAAAAACACTGTACGAGTTTGTATTAGTATGATTTATTGTTTTTTTTACAGTTAAAAAAGAAAAAGGAAAATTATTTGTTAAAAGTAAAATAGTTTACCATTACATTGCTTAATGCTATTGGAAAATAAGTGGGAGTGTTGTAATATAGTAATTCTCCAATAGGTGTCACTGTTGTACTGACGACACACGGTGCCGCTGCTGTTTTTTTTTTTCTTCCTGCTTCTCTTCTTGTCAGTCGATATAATAAAAAAACCACGTGAAACTTCAACAAAATTCTCTGCAAAGAAAGCAATTTTAAGCAGTCTATCCACATTGGCACTAGTCCCTATCGATTAGTAGCGGATTGTAAATATTTGCGTTTTTTAATTATGCAAGGCTTGTGTGTGATATTGCAGTGGAAGGGTGGGGAACGCCATTTAAAGTCAGTGACTCTTGACAGGAATGCGCGTCCTCTGCGCTCAGGCAGCGCTCCGCTGCTCTTACTTTATTTTTAACACTTTGGGTGGGTCAAACAGCGGCTGATGAGAATGAGCTGCAGCAGCTCTCCCCCACCGTGACCTAGACCTCAGCGCCTCTCATGGGATTATTACAGCCCTTCAAATAACGGACTTTATTATAAAGACATCGACAAAGAAGCGTGTCAATCTCCCGGACTGTTTTTCATGTGTATAGGTAAGTATACTGTTATTTAAAACTCATATTTATAGAGGGCCTGTCTTCAGTTTAGGATTCCCAATGTCGTTTTATATTAGATGTATTAGAAGAGTTTGTTTCTTGTTTCGTTTTAATCACATTATATATATATGTGTGTGTGTGTATCTCTGAGTAGCAAAATAATGTTTAATATCGCAATGACCGGTTTAATTATTGTTCTTTTCATAGAAGTAGCCTATTGCAGGCTTATGAGAAGCGCAGCGACCTGTTGAGCACTGAACGCTCAGTGTGAACACATTCATGTTGGCATGTGTGATCAGTACAGATAAAAAGCCCTTGGAGAAAACATACTGGATACAAACCAATGCAAATATGTAAGAGCTGTTAATTTCCCTACACAAGTATGTGCTTTTCACTTTGAGAACTTTAATTTGACAGTTAAATTCAGTTACTTTGTTCATTTAATAACTAGCAGCTCTCATCTTTCTTCTATATGATCATTAATTTGACTCTGTGAGTTACTCTAAGCGAGGTCCAAGCTGGTCATTATAGCTGAGTTAAGCTTGTCCAAACTGGTAGACCACATTGGACCTGAAACAAACCAGCTTGTCGTACGTTTAAGGCAGTCAAGCTGGATTTTGGAACATAGACCAGTTTGGGCACCTAGAAACTAGCCACCATGTTCCAACAGCCTCAGTTATCAACTGGACTTTCCAACACACATTCGGCTGGTCTCTTTGTTTCTCATTGAATTAACAGAAGAAAGCTGTTTCAAAGTATTAGCAAAAGAAAAACAGCTGTCACTAAGCCTTTGAAATAATACAATCACGTGAGCTGTTTCAAGCTCACCTTATAGGGAGAACCGCTGTGGTGTAAACACCATTACTTACCACCCAGAACTTCATAATATGACCATAAAGTTAATTCCAGGAATAGTTTTGTATTATACTGTCTGACTGTTAATTCTATGCTCTGCTTGCCTCAAGACCACTGCTGTGTTTAAAACTTACTGCATCTTTAATGGAACCGTTTATTCAGAAATTAAAATCATGTCAGCCTTTTTTGTTTGCACTGTATGGAAGGGAGCACGTGAACATTCTTTGAAACGTCTCTTTTACAGAAGAACGAAAGTCACGGTTTGGAATGACACGGGTGTGAATAAATAATGACAGAATTTAAGTTTCAGGGTAAACTTATTTCTTCAAGGCGGTGATTATACCCACAATTTACTTTCCTTAATCTCATTTAAACACAGAATACTCTGGTTCTCCAGCTGTTCCTACAGTAACATGGCACATACAGTGTATCATGATTCATACCACACCTAAGTGTGGCCTCTCCACTCACACATGTGAGAAATAACCCGCTGTGTCGGCTTCCTGGACAGTAGATAGCCGCCCTCTCAGCTTCGGTTGCAGAATTTGAGAGTAAACACACTGTGACTTTATCATGGCAGTGATAGATATTACTAGCTAGAGATACTGCTCTTGCAGTATTTAAATTACAGTTTTTATTTTACAGTTATTGCCAAAAATAATGTTAATGACCTAAAAATGGTTCAGATTCAATAATCTATCATATGTAGATTTATAAACATTTAAATAGTTCACACAAAAATGAAAAAATAAAGTATGCCTATGCAAAGAGATTTAAGAGCTACCGCAGAGAGAATGTTTTTCAGGTAACAACAAATTAAATTTTGGTCTGTTACTCACAAAAAGCTATCATATGGCTTGAGAAAACAATAATAAGGACTTATTAAGGACTACTTGTAATTTTTGGAGCTTGACAGCTTGGTTACTATATATTTACATTGTATGGAAAAGAGCAGCATCAATGTCCTTCAAAATTTCTTCTTTTGTGTTCTACAGAAGAAACAGTCACAGAGGTTTGGAATGACATTATGACATGATTTTCTTTTTTAGGTGAATAATTTTTTCATAGCTGTCCCTATTGTCCCTCTCTTTCGTTTGAGATAGTAGATACTTCGTCATAAACTGTATGTGTACACGTGAGCATATTGCAGAGACAGAGACACCACACGCAGAGAGAGCAGCAAAGTTGTGCCTCTTGTGATAATGGGTTTCCCGCTGATGGGTGGAGAATAGTTCTTCGATAACATCCCCCCTGCGCTGGCCTGATACAGAGAGAGAGAGAGAAAGAGTGAGAACCACCATCACCCCTCTTTCTGACACCTGTTAGATTCTCCACTTCCCTCAGTTCTTGAGCCAGATGTTGATTTTTATTTTGTATATTGTACAACGGACATATTCACACCTTGCATTGTTACAGTACACTAACCCTGCAAATAGGATGTGAAATTCATTTGGTCCAGTGCTTTTCAATGGCCTAGATATTTGGAGCCAACTAGAGCAGAAGCTTTGTATCGTCTCAAGTAGTTCACTGCTAATGATTAGTGAGGATTTTCCTCTCTAATTTTCTGACTGTGAGAAGAAACACGCAAGTAAATATCTGATCACGTAGCGTGTGACGAAGTAGGAAAATTTGTGAAAGGTGCTCTTCACATTCTGTTACTCAGAGGGGTTGCCCAGCCCCCCCGTTTAGGGCGATAAGACTACACACGAGCAACATGCCTCACAAAGATAGAACTATCTTAGCAGCTAACCTTCACTCGCCATTCCACAGTAGCATGCGTAAATACACACCCTCGTTAAGAGCGACGGTTAGAGGACATGTGCTGAAAATGGCGGCCTTTGGAATCCTGAGGGTGTAGGAAAATATTCTATAAGGGAAACAGGTATACATTTATTAATTGTATTATTCATTAATTGGCATTTTTGCCATTCTTATAGACAGGGACAAGCAAAGAGGCAGGTAATGATAGGAGGATGGGCAACTATGAGACAGTTTTTGGCATAAGAACCACCACAAATTTGCACATGTGACTCATGGTCCTCTGTAGAGTCTTAAATTATCATCTAACTTAAGAATGATCATCTAACTTGTATTTTTTTTTTCAAATTAATTTGTTTTCATTACAAGTTATATTATCAATATAGCAATTTGAGTGAAATTTTGTGTGAAAACCTTTTTTAATGGCAGCAGCACTTGAGCTGAAATCAACAAAAAGCACAATTTAAGAATGTTCCAAACAGCATCTTGTGCTTCAATGTAAGCAAGAACACCATTTTCTTAACTGATAAACTGATAAGGGACCGTGGAGATAATACAGAATCTTTATTATGTCTGTGTTTTACAATTTCACAATTCTTAAACTTATTACTTCCATTTTTTTCAATTACAGTTACTGTGTTCCCCACTGTATATAAACAGGCTCATATAATCATGTTATGTGCCAACATTAAGGGGCTGTTCACACAGAACACTTTTTTGCATTATACTTTTTCATTGTTTTTCTATGTAAACATGCGCTAGACGATTACGTTGGACCATTGCGGTTACATCTTTTCCAGTTTCTTGCACATGACGTTTTTAAAACAGATTTCTCAAGTTAAAAGAAGTTACCTCGAGACCTTTTTTTTTCCCATTCCACTGCTCATGTTTTGCCTTTTTTAATGCAAAAATGCGTTCTATGTGAATGGTCCCTTAGGCACGAGTATTGAATATCTAAATATATTGAGTGCAAACAGAAATTTCTAAATGTTTAAAGGTCACTTCAGTGCAAAATCTAAAATGACTTCTTTAAAGATAAATGTCCAGTTAAACTCCATCTCTTTCACCTTTCAGATCATCCATCTCTGGCATTCCACTGTCTTGTCTTCGTGTAGCACGGTGAGGTGTTTGGTCTCTCTCATTCCTCTTCATCTCAGTGGCAACTATGACCTCCACCACAGACTTTGACAATGCTGAAATCACTCAGCAGTACAGCCGCATCAACACCCGCTTTGAACTGTCTGGTGAAGAGCTCGACAACGACAACAGCTCGGCCAGACTCTTTGAGCGTTCGCGCATTAAAGCGCTTGCAGGTGAGTCGTCTCAAGTGACATAAAACTGAGCACATGTTGCTTTGGCTTACATATACAGATGCCCACAAATGTGCAAATACATATACAGACGCACAGGCAGCTGAACCCTATCCTCTCCTGCCCCCCTTGACCAGTCAGGATCATTTGCACATACCCAGCATGCCTCTGTATGACTGAGCTGGACAGCTGCCCTGCCCGTCTGTGCCCATAGCTTAGATCTCCGGGATGGTTGCAGGAGCTTGTAATTTTTGGCACACCTGTGGGGTCTGCTGCTCTCAGAGACAGCGAGATTTAAATAGCGTTTGAGTGACAGTACATTATCATAATTTTTTTTTTCTGAAGAAAATTAATTAAACTACAATATACTGTCATGTCATTTATATTTAAACTTGTATGCCATGCATTTAGTTTTTTGAGAATAAGTTATGTTTTTTTATTCAAGGCTAGGGGTCTTTCTGTTTTGAAATGCATTAGCGATGGTGTACTCAAATACGGCCTGCTTCTTTGAGCCAAGTGTATGTTGCTGAGCCAGGGGGAGTGTGATGTGTTCTGTCGGTGCGTCAGTGCTCTGCCCTTTCTCTAATGCAATTAGAGAGAGTTCAAAAGTGAGGGAGAGCAAGCGAGCGAGAGAGAAGTGGTTCCCATTCTTCACCGTTGATTTACGGCTTCTGAACAGACACGAATCCCTCTGAGTATACGAAGTACACTTTGAGTACACAGTCATTAATACAGTTGTAGTTTGTATTTACAGTACATCAGGGCCCAAACCGCTTATGCACGCATTTACAGTCTGACATCACATTGTATTTGTAACAAATCAAAACACACACACAAACACGTGTACAGCCATTTGATTCAATTTTAGATGAGTGTGTGCGTGTTGTGGGGCGAACAGGAATGGGGGCATATTATATGCATGGCTGGGGTGCTGGAGAACCACTCCATGTGCTACCGGGGAGTGGCACAACAGCATCACTGCTAAGTGAAGAGTGAGTGAGGGCGGGAAGGAGAAAGAGAGAGAGAGAGGGAGGGAGGGCGGGCAAGAGGAAGAGGAAGAAAACAGGACTCGAGACAGAAGGAGGGAAGAAGAGTGTCCTGTTTGTCTCGCTCTTTCCCAGCCTTGCGTGTTGATTTAGCGTGGTGAGGATGAGCAGCCCCTGTTTGTGTCGCACGGTGCCTGTGAGCCAGACCCGGCTGAGGGAGGTCAAACTCAGCTTGAAGACCAGCAGAGAGACCATTGCGATCCGCCCTACCCCTGTCGTCCGAGAGGTCAGCAGCCGGCAATATACCACGATAAAAGAAGTCTCGACCCGGACCAATGCACCAGGCAGTCGGAGCAGAAGCACCCCACCAGTTCACAGGGCCCAAAGCAGGAGAGGGGGCAAAACTAACAGTCCCCACATTCGTGAACCTGAGCACCTGCCGGAGAGGAACGGAACTTTACTGGGCATCACACCTAAAGTAGCACCCATGACTCTCACTTCAGTCTCCTCAACCTCATCATCCTCTTCCTCCTGCACCCCGAGGGGCCATCGGCCCTCACCTCCACGATCCTCACCATCTTGCCCCCCTTCCCCGTCCCGGAGTATGAGACGAGCACGCTGGCTGAGCTACAGTGCTTCCAACATCTGCTTCAACAACTCCATCCTGGATGGGCGATTCAGACAACTGCAAGGTAGTGTCCTGCTAGAGTTTTTTCCTCCCATCCTCGAGGAGGGGGGAGTCTTTCCCGGCATACCCCACCACAGGGGACTTACAGGAATAGGTAGAGATCCAGAATGGGAAGGACATTAAGGTGGTATGCTAGATTGTTCTCTATGGGGTGCTATGGGAACTGGTTTGTCTTTTTATGTGCAGTATTTATTAATTTCATTATTTATGCTGTATATACGCCCCAATTGCTCACTGTGTTACCTCTAAATATTTAATGACAAACTCTATTCAGTGGAAAAAAAAATACTTTTTGTGCCCCACCACATCTGTCTTTTTCTTGCTGAAGTACAAAGTGATTGGTACACTGGCAGACTACCCCCCATCTACTTCTTGTCTTCTGCTATTCTTACCTCTTACAGGAAAATGTTGTCTCTTGTCTTTTTCTCTGATTTTGGGGTATTCAGCATTGAGGTCTCCTACCTCACTTATTCTCTCCTGGCAGCTCTTTATTTTTTAGAGATAAGCTGACTGTCACTGTTAATTTGTGTAAAACTGAGCTTCCTCTTTCTCTCCGATGAGAGCATTCTTTTAATGCTGTGGAACACAAAGAGCATAGTTCAGAGAGACTGTATTTTTTCTATAACTATCACTAATGTTTACATGTATAGTATGAATACATAGGAAGGGATTAAACTTGGTTAGCATAAAGACAAATAGACATGGACTAGTTTTGCATTCTACTTTTCTACTGCTCAAGTTAGAGGTGTTTTCTAAGGCATGCATCACTAATACTAATGCTCATACTTAGGGTTATGGGTTTTATGGAAACCCGTTTTAGAGTAAATAATAATAAAAGTAATTGTGAGATAAAGTTTAAAATAAGAAATATAGTAACACTGTGAGATATGAAGTCACACTATAAGATCTAAAGTTGCAATTGTGAAATATAGTTGGTGACTATAAACAGTTGGTTACTATAAAGTTGCAATTATGAGAAATATAGTTGCAAGTACTTAAGACATGAGTCCTACCTAAAACTGAGCAGCTTTTTGTCCGATGGATGGTAAAATGGGTGAAAAATCTTACAGATCTACATTGAAGGAGGGACTCAACAAGGACAAGAACATCATAAAGATCACCCAAACCGCCTCCATCATGGCTACAGGTGTTACATAGGAAAGAACCACTTACATTGCATCTAAATCTATTGCTTCTATGTGTCCTCCCATCACAAAGCTCTCTGTTACTTGTGATTTTGTGTTGGTAAGGACCTAACCTTGTAGGTCCAGAGCCCTCCAAACAATGACTAAGGTATGAGAATTTAGTGAGACTGCAGGTCACATCCAGTGAAGGCTGACTGTTGGAAAAACTTTGGCTTGTTGTGTACAGGGAAAATCCATCAATATGAATATTTCACAGACCTTTCATGTGAGTTGGAGAGAATATCAGAGATCAGCAGGACCCTAGTGAAACAAACTCTATTTAGACTCAATGCTGTTCTAATGGAGAGAGAGAAGCATTTAGTAGAGGTTAGACTACAGTCCGGCTGTACAAAGTGTGGGCAGGAAGAGGAATCATTTGGCAGTAGTTTGATCATGAAATATGTAGTGTTGCCAAGCTTAGATCTCTTATCATGCTTTAGCACATCTGGAGCTTTCCTAAATCTGGAAGGAACATGGTAAATTGCACTTTAAAAAGTGAAACGGTGCAGTTGTTACTTTATAGAGCTTCACCTACCTGACCTGACCCATAATACTGTATATATATATATTTTTTGGTGTAACCCAATAAGTCAAGGTTTGCCGGGTTAGCATGGCCTCCTAGCCATGGCTGGTAGATGCTATACTTATATCATCTGGACCAAAAAAGTAAAAATAAAAAAATCTCTGTTGACAGTTGTTCAAATAATTTATTTGCAAGCAACACGTATTTTTATAACGTGTTTTACCTTTCATGAAAACTCAGGATAGTCACAAATTAAGGGCTTGGGACTGATTGGCAATCACTGTTGTTGTGACATAATTTTCCTTTGGCTCCAGGGTAATTAGCCATGTATTAGCCATGACATTTACGGCTCAGGAGATTGCCTGAAAAGCATTTACAATTTAAAATTTTATTTTTTACTTGAATAAAATAATTTTATTTAGATGTTTTCACATAAAATACATGTTTGAGGTTACTAGAAAATCAAGGAAAAAAAAGTTTTTTTTCCCCCAGTGTGCCAACGTTAAGAAACAATTACTACAACTCTTTAAATTAATTACCTAAATTAATGGGAAAGGCTAATGGCTTGGGGATACAGGTGTGATTAATGATATAAAAAAATTTTTTTATGACATTTCAAATTTAAATATTTAGGGCAAAATGAAAGCTATTTTGTCTCTCTACAGATGTACTGCCAAAAAAATGCACTTTTGGCCCAACATTGTTCTAAATGTCACAATCTCATGCTGGAGTGCCCATGAAGCTTCGCTAGAGGGCATTCCATTACAGACTCTTGCCACTTTACCCCAGACTTCATTCCTCATAATCCTTTGCATAAACTCATCATCACTGATTGCATTCCTGTGTTTCTGTGTTCCGCCTTGCCTTGCCTTGTTTTTGACCCTGGACTGTTCCTTGTTTTCTGATCGTTTGCTGCCTGCCCCTGACCTTCGCCTGTTTATTGGATTATTTGTCTCTTCCTGGATTATACCTGTTTGCTGTTGTTTGACCCTGCCTGTTTTGACCATTCTTTTGAATAAAGCCTGCACTTGGATCCACCAACCCCGTTGTCACGCTTACATGTTACACTAAAGTAATTATTTTATTTTTAGCACTTTTGACAACCCATGCCTTTCTAAACAGCTTTACAAAAAATTTGTATTTTCATGTCCATTATACAGAAATAACATTTGATATAAAACTCACTAATCTTAACACCTCTGAAAGATTGTTTCTGCACATGCTCAAAAATAGTTCAGACATCATGCATTACACATTTGAATGTTCATTATTTTTTCATTGCTTTGTGATCCAGATGAAGGAGACATGCTTTCATACACTTTAGAGTAATTTAACAGTGTTGTAGTCAAGACCAGTTCATTCTAGTCCAAGTCCAGACCAAGACCTGAGAAGGCTGAGTCTGATTCAAGGCTGAGACAAGAAGAGGGTCAAGTCTGAGACTGTTTAGCTGTAGTTTAAGCATAATTGGAAAGGTAATGTTTCTAGATTGACTTAAAAGCATGCAACCATTCTCCACCCACTACACATGCTAATGTTTTCTAATGTCTTTTTCACCCTCTTCTCTCACTCACTCTGTTTTTTCTATCTCTCTCGTTTTGTCATTTCCGTCCCTCCATCTTTCCAGTTTCCTGCGGCCATAGGATCTGAATCATTTATAAAATTCATCATTAAGAATGCACAATTTATTTTATTTTTTTGTTAGAAACTTAAATAAACGTGATGCTGCAGAAGACATGCTCATGAAAAACACATGGGCATACATAATAAATACACTATAAAGAATACACATACATAGATGATATACTATAATCACTGTCTGATTATGACAAATCTTTTTGGATTTTTAAAAAGGTCTTTCTACAGTCCACAGCTTTGTTTAACTATTTTATTACATAATGTATTCCATATATGTCTTCTCAAAATCAAAATGGGTGAATCTCATGAAAACTGTCAAGAAATCATAAAAATGAAGCCTACAGTATTTTTATGGCCATTAAGGTATTATGCATTGTGACATTATTTTCAGTACAGTTGAGCACATTGAAAATCTGCAGTAATTGGATTTTTAATTAAATTTATTGCACAATTCTGAGTATACATCATGGCAGTATTTATTGTACTGAATTTAATTTAAACTGATATGAAAATGGAAATGCTTAACTGCCATTAAATTGTCACAGTGCAAAAAAAGAAAACAAAATGGTCCTACAAATAGGGCTTTTTATTTATGCAAAATATTATTTCTTATTTTATTATTTTGAATCTGATATATTTCTATGATTCATTTAAGTATTTTTAATTGTTTCAATTCACTTTATTTTTCATGTAAATAAAACATCAGATGTGAAACTACAAGGCCACATCAGAGTAGCTGAATGTTTTTCCCTTTCTGTCAAAACTAGATGAGCGAGAGGCTGTTCAGAAGAAGACCTTCACAAAATGGGTGAATTCAATACTAGCCAGAGTCAGCTGCCGAATCTCAGATCTCTATCTAGACCTTCGGGATGGGAGAATGCTCATCAAACTACTGGAGGTTCTGTCAGGGGAGAGACTGGTGAGTATAATGTGTGTTTAATGTGTAGCAGTGTCAAACCTTGATTTGTCCACACCACAGAACAAGAATTAATTGCCATTTACTGAAGTCATTGCCGTAATATCTTCGATTCTCCATCTTTCCACCATTCAGCCCAAGCCGACCAAGGGGCGAATGCGCATCCACTGTCTGGAGAATGTGGACAAAGCTCTACAGTTTCTAAAGGAACAGAAGGTGCACTTAGAGAACATGGGATCACATGATATTGTAGATGGGAACCACCGGCTCATCCTAGGCCTTATCTGGACCATCATTCTTCGCTTCCAGGTCAGCCCGTTATTCTGATGAAACAACTTTTTTGACCACTCTATTCATTCTGTGCCTCTAAATATAATTTAAACCAAACAATAAGGAAAGTTTAGAAATTAAAAACTAAATTAAAACATTTCTCAGGCTATAAAACACACAGTACGAAACAATCCAGACAGCAGAGTTTTTGTATTGTGTCTTTGGCTGATTGGAAAAGCTTACATTTATTTGGTTGATTCGAAAAGCTTATATTTATTTTTAAATCTCTCATTTTGATAGCAGGATATTTTTAGCCCAGCTACTTCAAACAATATACTCTGCTACATAATTCAGACCTTTAAAAATGAAAGGAAATAGACCGGAATGGGAATTGTTGACTGCTCTTTATTCTGCCTGGCTCCCACAGCAATGTACAAACTATTGAGATATAAAAAGTCAGGATCTAAATAAAGTAACAATGCCTCTGCATATCCAAGAATGGATGCCCAAGGGCGAATTAAAGTAGCTCTTCTAATTAATGTGAGATTTAGAGTACATGAAATGTCAACTGATATGAGAATTTACTGCTTTTATTATTGCATTTAACAGAAGGAAGGTCTAGTTGACAGAAATACAGTAAGAGTGACAGAAAGAGGTATATGAATATAGTTTAAATGCACATGTGGGATTAATTTCAGCTTTTGTTCTTTCTTTCCTCGTGTGGATACAGATTCAAGACATTATAGTAGAGACAGGACAAGCTGATAAGACAGGCCGGCAAGAGACCCGCTCGGCCAAAGATGCACTACTCCTCTGGTGCCAGATGAAGACTGCAGGGTAGGACAACAGTTGTCATACTTTAGTAGTAATGAAGCTATAGCAAATCCTCAATTTTTTATGAAAGATTTGTGGTTGCAGATGGATTTGTCTGATGTTGTTTTGTATCTGCAGGTACCCCAGTGTAAACATCACCAATTTCACCACAAGCTGGAAAGATGGCATGGCTTTCAATGCTCTCATTCACAAACACAGGTGATAAATATCAAGACAAAATGTAAATATTAAGACAAAAGATAGCTTGTGGAGACATTGCTTAGTGGTTAGGAGACACATGATTACATGGTGAGCAACTTTAAACCTTTGCATAAATCTCATGATTTCTCTACGAAATAAGATTCGATTTCTTAGAATCTCATATGTATAATTTCCAATCACAAACTGAATTGAGATTTGCGAAAATATCAATGTCTGCAATCAAAAGCTTGAGATTTCAAAATGAACATTCATCCTCCAAGATCATGTTATTGATCAACAAAAAGTTGACATTTAAATTAAACCTCCCAAGCAACCACTGAGAAATGAAATTGATATAATAGATATAAACCAAATACCCTCTTAATTTCACTGCATCAGGCCAGATCTAGTGGACTATGGCAATCTACAGAGGTCCAATCCCACTCACAACCTTCAGCAGGCCTTTAATGTAGCTGAAAAAAAGCTTGGTGTCACCAAGCTCCTGGACCCAGAAGGCAAGTAACACCTACTGACTATTAAGCTAAAAATATAAAAATTATACTCCCATTATAGAGAAAACATCTTTATATTCTATTGTTTGCAGATGTGTTCACTGAGAACCCAGATGAGAAGTCTATAATCACATACGTTGTTGCATTTTACCACTACTTCTCCAAGATGAAAGCTCTGGCAGTTGAGGGCAAGCGAGTTGGAAAGGTGCAAAATTTAAGCGAGTCCGCTCCCATGTGAATTTTATGTGTGTAATGCAAGAGGACATTTGCATTGATCTATACTTATATTTTCCAGGTGCTAGACCAGGCCATTGAAACAGAGAAGATGATTGAGAAGTATGAGACATTGTCATCAGACCTGCTAACATGGATTGAGCAAACCATCATTGTCCTGAACAACCGCAAGCTTGCTAACTCCCTTACAGGCGTCCAACAGCAATTGCAGGCTTTCAACTCTTACCGTACCGTGGAGAAACCACCTAAGTAATTCAGGCTATTTATGAACAAATGTCTCTTTTTCTGTAGTAAGCAACCAACTGCTAAGCAACCAACTTTGAATTACTTTTTAACTCTAACTCTTAAGGTTCCAGGAGAAAGGCAACTTGGAAGTATTGCTGTTTACCATCCAGAGCAGAATGAGGGCCAACAATCAGAGAGTCTACACACCTAAAGAGGGTGCACTGGTGTCTGATATCAACAAGGTGAGATGCTAAGTTTAATGCTGCATTGATTTAAAATCAGGCAGTATGAATTTCCAACCTCCAATTAGGGAAGGTGCAATATAATGCCACTTGAAGTCAGACTTTGAACATATATCTGCAAAACAATCTTTGCCTTTTTATGTTCTAAACATCGAACAATAGAATATGGTGGTCATCTGGCGAGATAAAGTAGGAATATCCCATATCTGACTTTAAATGGGGGCACAATAAGCTCCAGCAATAATATTAATCAATTCATGAGAAACACTGTTATGAACCAAACAGACACCTGTTAGTCCCAACCACTTAAGGTAAATTTTCTGCAGGGACAGTGACAAAGGTTGAACATAATAGTAAATCCAGTGGTCTGAAAGACTCTGAGCTGTTTGAGTGTGTGTGCCTTTGTTCTCAGGCATGGGAGCGGTTGGAGAAGGCAGAACATGACCGTGAGCGGGTCCTAAGAGATGAACTCATTAGACAGGAGAAGCTGGAGCAGATGGCTCGTCGCTTTGAAAGGAAGGCAGCTATGAGAGAGACCTGGCTTCTAGAGAATCAGAAACTGGTTTCACAGGTAACTCACCATCCACAGCCTTCTTCTAAAAGACGAAAGGCGCAGAGAGCCTTTATTTAGATACCCATCATTTCATAGTTGCCTACACCTGAAGAGTGAAATTAATTATCATTATTTTGCTTTCTACTTTGAAGGATAACTTTGGCTATGACTTACCAGCAGTTGAGGCAGCTAAGAAGAAACATGATGCCATAGAGACAGATATTGCTGCATATGAAGAACGCGTTCAGGCACTGGTTGCCCTGTCTAAAGAACTGGAAGCAGAACGATACCATGATGCTAAACGCATTGATGCTAGAAAAGACAATATCTTGAGGCTGTGGGACTACTTGCAGGAGCTCCTGAAAGCTCGCAGAGGTCGTCTAGACAAGAACCTCACCCTTCAGAGAATCTTCCAGGAGATGCTCCACATCATTAGCTGGATGGATGAAATGAAGGTAGGAAAGACAATTGAGTAAATAGTGTGGTTGATTTATATGTTTTGCTTGAATATTATGGTTGCATTGTATGTCATGTAATTGAAGCAAAAATATGTTATGTTATTCAATCAATTTCTTATGTGACATTTGTTCTTCAGAGCCGACTCTTGTCCCCAGACTTCGGAAAACACTTATTGGAAGTGGAAGACTTGTTGCAGAAACATTCGTTGCTAGAAGCTGATATAGCAGTGCAGGCAGAAAGAGTACGATCAGCCAATGCAGCTGCTCTTAAATTTGCCAATGGTGACAGTGAGTACAGTTGAACCCTTGTATTTTTCTGTTGACTTGGGTGATGTAGGTGTGAAGCAGTCTCTGTAGTCTTTATTTGATGAATTTGTTACACACACTGTTCATTGTTATTTTTCTTTTCTGCTCTTAATTGTCTAGGTTATAAACCATGTGACCCACAAGTGATCCGTGATCGGGTACAACACTTGGACCTGTGCTACCAGGAGTTGTGTGCTCTGGCAGCTCAGAGAAAAGCCCGTCTTGAGCAGTCGCGACGACTTTGGAACTTTTTATGGGAAATTGCAGAGTTGGAGAGCTGGATTCGGGAAAAGGAGCACATCTTCTCCTCTCTTGACCATGGTAAGGACCTGACCAGTGTGCTGGTACTGCAGAGCAAACACAGCGTCTTTGAGGATGAGCTTGCCGCTAGACGGGACAACTTGAAGCAGGTGATGGACGAGGGAGAGAGCATGATTCAGGCCAAGCACTTGGGTTCCCCTAAAGTGCAGCAGCGCATGGATGATGTGCGAAATCAGTGGCAGCAGCTGGAGGACCTGGCCGCCTTCCGTAAACAGAATCTGCAGGACACTCAACGCTTCTTCCAGTTTCAGGGTGATGCTGATGACCTCAAAGCCTGGCTGGTTGATGCTATGCGTCAGATGAGCAGTGATGACATTGGACATGATGAGTACACTACGCAGCGACTGCTCAAGAAACACCGTGACTTAAGAGATGAGGCTGCTAAGAACGGAGCCAACATTGACGCTCTATCCAAACAGGCCAATGCACTTCCTGAGGAATTAAGGCACACACCAGACATCCAGGGGCGTCTTAATGATATCCGGGATATGTATATAGAGCTTTTGACCCTCTCAGACCTGAGGCAGAAGAAGCTAGATGACACCATGGCTCTTTACACTATCTTTAGTGAGACGGACGCTTGTGAGCTCTGGATGGGCCAGAAGGAGACCTGGCTGGTTGGGCTGGAGACACCAGAGAATTTGGAAGATCTAGAAGTTGTACAAAACAGGTATGGCTGTTGGTTTTATGAACCCAGAGATAGTACTGTAAGTGTGTTTCATAAACTGGAAAACTATTCCAATTTATGCCACTGTCATAAAATGTTGTGTTTGTTTGCAGGCTAAGCATTCTTGCTCAGGAAATGGGTAATATGCAGGCTCGGGTTGATAACGTCAATAAAGCAGCCAAACAACTTGAAGACAGCAGATATCCACAAACAAAACAAGTGAAAGACTGTAAAACTCGTCTCAATAGAAGGTCAGAGTTATTATCACGGATATGAAAGCCAGTCCCAATTAAAAATACTTTGTAAATAATCTGTAATGTTCCTTTTTTCTCTTCTCATAGATGGGAAGCTTTTAAAGCAATGGTGGAGGATAAGAAACATAAAGTAGATTCAGCCCTCAGCCTACATAACTATGATCTTGAATGTGATGAGACAGAGTCATGGATAAAAGAGAAGACACGAGTCATTGAGTCAACACAGGACCTTGGGAATGATCTGGCTGCAGTCATTACCATTCAGAGGAAGCTCTTTGGAATGGAAAGAGACCTTGCTGCCATCCAAGATAAGTTGGATTTCCTGCGTAATGAGGCCCAGAAGCTTGTGAAGGACCACCCAGAAAATGCTTCTGATATATTTGCCAGACAGGAAGAGTTGGATGCTGCATGGGACACCTTGAAACGCACCCTGAAAAACCGAGAAGACTCTCTTGGGGAAGTCAGCAAGCTGCAGACCTTCCTACAGGACATGGATGATTTTCAAGCCTGGCTGTTCAAGACACAGAAGGCTGTTGCATCTGAAGACATGCCTGATGGTTTACCAGAGGCTGAGCAGTTCCTGAGTCTTCATGATGCTGTGAGGGCTGATATGGATGGCCATGAAGAAGACTACCACTGTGTGAGGGACACAGGAGCAGCTGTCATTCAGGGCCAAGAAGATGATCCTCAGTACCAACAGCTGGAGCAGAGGCTGGTCGGTCTTGATAAGGGATGGGATGAGCTGCACAAAATGTGGGACAGCCGCAAGAGCTTCCTAGATCAGGGTCTCGGCTTCCAACAGTTCATGAGGGACGCCAAGCAGGCTGAGGCCATATTAAATAACCAGGTATACGTACATACAGTTTTCATCTGATGAACCTTGTAATGAAAACAGTCATTTTGGGAAACCCAAACCTTGCCAATATTGCCACCTGCTTATTATTCTTTGCCAATTACCTTCAATTGCAGTTCCATAATATTGTTCCTCCCTTTAATTTGCCATGTCTCTTTCTGTGTCTTTTTCCTGTACTTGTTAAAAGGAATACACTCTAGCCCACATAGACAAGCCTGATACCCTGGATGGAGCAGAGAAGGCCCTGAAGAAGCACGAGGACTTTGTTACCACCATGGATGTTAATGAGGAGAAGATACTCAGCACACTGGAGACTGGTCAGAGGCTGGTGGACAGTGGAAACCTTTACTCAGAAAGGGTCAATGACAAGATGGGCTCGATTGAAGATAGGTCTGTTTTTTTATATTATTTCATTTTACATCCAAGGTCAGACATACAACATAATTTACATAGAACATTCCTCTTTGACCTAGCATATGAACTATCCACTAAAATAAACTTGCCCTTTCAATCCAATTTCCATGCTTAAAGAGACAGTAAAAGTATATAAGACAGAGGATTTTCAGTTCAATAGGCTCCAGCATCCCACACGATCCTACATAAAAAAAGTTAATGATTTTGCCTATTACTTACTGTATCCTCTGGACCAGTATATAAAATGGCATGACAAGAACATTTACATCAAACTGACTGATGTCAACCCACAATGTCAGTGTAATTCAGAAAGCAACCATAGTTTTCTACTCAAAGTTCATGTTAATGCATTCATGCATTTGTGCTTTCTTTGTGCTGAATCAGCAGTGTGTGAGAGAAGCATTATACTGTAAAGGAGTAGCCTGCACTTCCCCTATTAGCCCAGGCAGTCTGTAGCTCCTTAAGATGGGCGCCCGTTCTGATGGGTATTGATCTCTTTGTGAAAGTATACCTAATCCATTGGTTTATGTTGCTTTTTTAAAGTGTTCTCTCTGCAGTGAGAAAATGGATGAGTAAAGAAACGCCATTTCAATGTCTGTCAGTGGTCACATTTTAATATATAAAGTTCTTACACCACTTTGCACTAGAGACCAACCAGTAAATAACCCATGTACATCTCAATAAATTAGAATGTCGTGGAAAAGTTCTTTTATTTCAGTAGGATGTGAGTAATGCTTTACTCAAAATTTTCATATGCAAGATCTCACAGATTTGCTTCTAATATGAATGTAATGTTCTTTGTGACCTTTTCTCTCATTCAATGAACATTTACTTCTCTATTTTAGCTTACACTATGGATAAATGAGAAAATGCTGACTGCACAGGATACATCATATGATGAGGCTCGGAACCTCCATAGCAAGTGGCAAAAACACCAGGCCTTCATGGCAGAACTAGCATCCAACAAGGATTGGCTTCATAATATTGATAAGGTATATATAGCAATTTTATATGAACTTTAATAAAGCACAGCAGTTGGGTTTCCGAAGTAAAAATCCCATATCCAATCTCCATATGGGACATATTTTACTATAACTTTCAAACATTTAAAAACAGACCTACCTTGAGCTCTAACTTGTTATTAAATGATGTAAGATTCTGTTGAAGCCCTAGTATCAATGTGTTGAAGTAATTGAAAAAATTAATATGTACTTTGAACCATGCACGTATTAGGAGGGACAGGAACTGATGGAATCTAAGCCTGAGTTTGAGCCCATTGTCATGGATCGTCTTGCTAAGCTTCATGAACTATGGGATAAGCTGGAGAGCACCACACAAGAGAAGGCTCGGCTGCTTTTTGATGCAAACCGTTCTGAGCTGTTTGATCAGAGCCTGGCTGACCTGAAGAAATGGTGGGCTGAATTGCAGCAGCAGCTCCAGGGTGATGTGGATGAAGAAGTGAAGGATCTTACCAGTGCCAACATCCTACTGAAAAAACATCAGGTGTGACATAAAATTTGTTACTTTTTCATTGTTTTGTGTCTGCTACAAATCAGTTGATTACCTCACTTGAAGCCAACTTTTGTCTGTGCTTTGTCGTTCCATATTTGGTGGTAATTTATAGAATACTGCTTAAATCGGCCCTATTCTCCCCTAGATGACAGAGAATCAAGTTCGGGATCGTGCACGAGAGCTTGAAGAACTTCAAGAAGCTGTACAGCAGCATGCTTCTCTTAGAGAGGACCAACCTGAGCTTGAAGATGAGCAGCAGACACTTCAGAGGGACTTCCAGAAGCTCCTCACACCTCTCGCTCAACGCAGGGGCAAGCTGGAGGCCGCTAAGGCAGTGCACCAGTTCTTCAGAGATCTTGCAGATGAGATAGTATGTACCAAAATCACAGCTATCCATATATTCAAATTACAGCTTCTTGGAATGCATCATTAGTTTTTGTTGATCTTTCTTCTTAAAGAACTTTTACATAGAAGTTTTGATTTGTTCTCCTCAGCTCTGGGTTAATGAGAGGTTACCAATGGCAATGTCAGAAGATCATGGCAACAATCTTCAGACTGTCCAACTTCTGCTCAAGAAGAACCAAGTGAGTTGTTCATTTGTTCCACTTACCCCCCAAAATCATTACTAATTATTCAGCGTGGTAGAGCACAACATGACTTGACAACATGGACTATTTCAATTAATGGTCTATTTATATAATTTATATTTAATTTACTATGTGATCATACCCCCTTTCATATACCCCACCCACCCCTATCATATAATCCTTTCATATCCTGCACAGTCTCTTCAAAAAGAGATTGACGGCCACCAGCCACGCATTGATGAAGTGTTAGAGCGTGGTCGGCGCATGGTGGCAGCAGCAGAGGGCAGTCCAGAAGAAGAACACATGTCTGAGGAAATGAAGAAGCTTCAAGAGGTGTGGGCAAAGCTGCAGGATGAGATGGCCCAACGGAGAGCACGGCTTTATGGCTCTAATGAGGCCCAACAGTATTACAATGATGCAGATGAGGCTGAGGCCTGGATAGGGGAACAAGAACTTTATATGATCTCTGATGAGAAGGCCAAGGTAAAAATGTAATAAACTGCAAAATGCCGTTTGTCTTGAAAATCTTCAAAATGCCAAGTTATGTCAACTCTGTGCGGGCTCCAAATTTTGTGTGCAATGAAAAGCCAGACTAAAATAAATTGTCTGTGACAATTAATCTCTCTGGGTTGTAGGATGAACAGAGTGCTATGATCATGCTGAAGCGACACCTGCTTCTGAAGCAGGTAGTGGATGACTATGCACGCTCCATCCAGCAGCTGGCAGACCGTGCCCAGAAGATGCTGGCTGAAGAGCACCCAGATGGGTATAGTGGACTAACTGCATGTCTTTATGTATTGTATATTGAGTAGAGTGGGCCAAGCTGAACTGAATCCTAAGGCACCCCAGTGTATGTTAAAAAAAACTCCATAACAAAGATGAATCTTTATTTGTCTGTATGTGAAGTGAGGCCATCATCCGGAGACAAGGACAAGTTGATAAGCAGTATGCTGGGCTGAAGGAGCTGGCAGAGGACCGCAAAAAGAAGCTGGACCACACATATCATCATTTCTTACTTAGCCGTGAAGTGGAGGATCTTGAGCAGTGGATTGCAGAGCGTGATGTGGTGGCATCTTCACAAGAGATGGGCCAAGACCTTGACCATGTGACGGTAAATAGGAACCTACCCCACATTTACATCTCTCACATAAAAGCATGTTTTGACATGTGCAATGCAAGACTTTACATGTTCAGTAATACTTATATTTTAGATCAATATAATTAATTACACAATTATGTTTCTAATTACATCAATATTTTAGATCCTGCGAGATAAGTTCAGGGAGTTTGCACGGGAGACAGGGACAGTGGGTCAAGAACGTGTAGACACTGTGAACCGGATCATAGATGATTTGATCGAAGCAGGCCACAGTGAGGCAGCGACCCTGGCAGAGTGGAAGGATGGCATCAATGAGAGTTGGGCAGATTTGCTGGAACTCATCGACACTCGTGCCCAGCTCCTCACAGCCTCCTATGACCTGCTTAAGTAAGTACAGAAGAATTCAATAGACTATATGTCACTCAATGCAGTGAGTGGCGTGCTTTTATCAGATCATATTATTCCTACTGACTCACTGTATCTCACACAAAAACAAGCCAAGAGGTGCTTTCACACCTGGCTCGTTTCCCCCCTTAGCTTGGTTCGTTTGGGCATATGTGAACACGGCAATCGCGCCCGGATGCGCATCAAAACAATCGGTCCAAGATCGCCTGAACGAGGTGGTCTCGGTTCGATTGAAAACGAACTCTGGAGCGGTTGGGTTGTAGTGAGAAAGCAATCCGATCTAACGGACCAACGAACCAGGCTATATCACAATGTATAATGGGTAATTACATAAGTCAAGATTATAATTACTTAACATTATACCTGTGTGAGGTGTTGAATTGGACTGGAAAACATTATCTAAAATATTCTGTGAATTTGGTCAGGTATTTTTATGATGGGAAGGAGCTGGTTGCTCACATTGAGGAGAAGAAGAATGAGCTTCCTGATGATCTGGGAGAAGACTTCAGCAAAGCAGAGTCCTTCCACCGAATGCATGCTGCATTTGAAAGGGACATCAGCTCCCTCGGCAAACAGGCAAGGAAAACACATTACATGAACAAGTGGTTGTCGTAATAAGTTTCATGTTTTCATCTCCCTGTGGCTTGTACATATTTATAAGACAGTGGCTTGTGTAGAAAATCTGAAAAATTATATCTCTAAAAGTTACAAGATTTTTCATATCTCTTTCCTTGCAGGTGAAACAGTTCCAGGAGACCGCAACTAGACTGTATGCCCAGTATGCAGGAGATCAGGCCACTGCTATTCAAGCAACTGAAGAAGAGGTTGTGGAGGCCTGGAATGGTCTGCTGGCTGCTTGCGCAGGCAGGAGGAAGCAGCTGGAGGATACAGCTGACAAATTCCGCTGCTTCACCATGGTGAGAGACCTGCTGGCCTGGATGGAAAGCATCATTCAGCAGATAGAGACACAGGAAAAGCCACGGTATGAAAATGTATCATTGTAGCCATCACAGTAGAGATGTCAAAGTTCCTTTTTGTGATGAAATTTGTTTCTTGTTGTCCAATGAAGAGATGTCTCCTCAGTGGAGCTCCTTATGAAGTATCACCAAGGGATCCGTGCTGAAATTGAGACACGTGGACCTAAGTTTAATCAGTGTGTGGAGCTGGGCCGGGCCCTGCTGGAACGCAAGCATAAGGACTCTGCAGAGGTAATCAGACATGGAAGGTAGCAGGTGTAGCAGTTTGCCACAACAAAGTGTCTGGAAAGCATCCATTTTCATTTACACTTCTTGTGCTCACAGATTAAAGAGAAGCTGATGCAACTAGTAGAAAAGAGGAAGGAGATGATGCTCAAATGGGATGAAAGATGGGATTGGCTTAGACTTTGTAAGTCCACAAATGTCATACAAATGTAGGCTACACACTACCACATATTAAAGCTGCTTATAATTATATCTCTTTCTAGTACTGGAGGTATGTCAGTTTGCTCGGGATGCATCTGTAGCAGAGGCCTGGCTGATTGCCCAGGAGCCATACGTGGCCAGCAGGGATCTGGGTGAGACAGTGGATGAGGTTGAAAAACTGCTCAAAAGACATGAAGCCTTTGAGAAATCCACTGCTACATGGGAAGAGCGTTTCTCAGCACTGGAACGTCTTACAACAGTATGTATATTTTAAACTTTGATGTATTAAACTCAACTCACACCATTAATACATTAATGACACCTCAAATTATGTGGATTGTTTGCATTGGCAGGCACCACTCACTGACTATTAATAATCTGTTGTAGTTGGAGCTGCTGGAAATTCGGAAACAACAACAGGACATACTACAATACAGACAAGAGGCGGAAAAAGACAGCAGGTGTATATATACGATCTGGGTAACACCGTCCTTCCCTAACTCCATATTCCATACTAAAATTTGACATTCAAACTCTGACCATAGGAGAGAAGACACAGGGTTTGCAGAGGAGTCCTCACAACTCTACACCACAGAAGAACAGTCTCTGGTGAGTTTAGTGCAAGTTTTTGTAAGAATCTCGAATCATCTTTCTTGTCATTATATTAAAGGGTTAGTTCACCCAAAAATGAAAATTAGCCCACAAATTACTCACCCTCAAGTCATCCTAGGTGTATATGACTTTCTTCTTTCAGACGAATCCAGTCGGGGCAGCATTTGCGTGAGTCTCGTGAAAACCAACGTTTGCTAACAGGAGCAAAGTTTCCTTACTTTAGCAAAGGAAAACCAGTCTCCTCTTGGCTTATATCGAAATTCTCCGACATTCTTCTTTACAAATCCTCGTTTTGTACTTCTAATAAGTGACCGGTGTTTTGTTTTGATCTCTCCCCTGTGCTTCCGCGTGCGCCACTTCTGAGCGGTGCATGCGCAAAGCTGACCTCATACGTCATCCACCCGGAACTGCTTCCAGTGTACAACAGTGAGCGCAAGCTAGATTAAATTGACCCGCTGAGTGCCATTAAACAGCTTGAAAGATCAAAGACAATTTTTAATATAACTCCGACTGGATTCGTCTGAAAGAAGAAAGTCATATACTCCTAGGATGACTTGAGGGTGAGTAATTTGTGGGCTAATTTTCATTTTTGAGTGAACTAACCCTTTAACAACATTCTTCTTATCAGATATTCTTTCACATTTCATGTGCTCATCTCCTAATGCAAATACAGCATACAAAACCCTATAATATAATTTTACTTTTTGTACTGCAAATGTTTGTTAAATTAATGCCTGTAATACTTGTTTGAATCTGTATCCAAACTTTGTTCTTTTGTGGTCTTCAGTCTGGTTTAGGAGTAATAGAGCCAAGTTCCGTGGGAGCTGATGGCACAGCAGGGGACTCCACTGTGCCTTTGATCTCAGAGATGCAGGAAAGTGGCTCAGTGGAACTGGACCCTTCCACATCCATCCAGGTTACCAAAGAGGCAGAAAAAGCTGCTACGCTTCCCACTGAATCTTCACAAGTTCAACCAGTCTTGATAGAGGGAACTCTATCCCGCAAACATGAGATGGAGGGACCCAATAAGAAGGCATCCAACAGGTTAGCTGCTGTTTAGAGAACCAAGACATTGACTAGGATATCACAGCGACTGGGCTCTTTGACTTCGGCAAGATCACCCAGGTCACCTTAGAAACCACCCATATAATGCTCTATCTAGCATTGTTGCAGCGTGTTTTGCACGGGCAGCCACTTACAATTACAGAAGAAATCTAGTTGTCTTGATTAAGTATAATGCTTCAAGCTTCATTTTCAATCACATAAAGTAGTCATCATTTTACCAATGAGCTTAATTTAAAACTGTCCACCCTCTCATCTCTTGTCTCAGGTCCTGGAACAACCTTTACTGTGTGCTCAAACCTGGGCAGCTCTCTGCCTACAAGGATGCCAAGAGCTTTAGTCACAGTGTCACCTACCATGGCGAGGAACCCCTGAACCTCAGCAATGCTTCATGCGAGATCTTGACTAACTATAAGAAAAAGAAGCAGGTGTTCAAACTCCAGTAAGCGTCTTGGTCATCAATCTTGATATTAAGTTTAAAATAAAAATGTATTTAAGTGTTGTGAGATATATTACATATAGGACTTACTTGTTTTATCCTTGTTCCATTTGCCAGATTTGAAAATGGAAGTGAATATCTGTTCCAGTGTAAAGATGAGGTGCGCTATTGACTGCTTCTTCTAATTAGTTCCTTATAGTTAATATAATCTTTGAAATATGCAGTGAACAACATTAATGATGTATGTTTTGTCTTTTTGACCACAGGAGGAATTTCAGAACTGGACTCAGGCTATAGAACAGGCAGCACAAGCTGTGACTGAAGAACCAGTTGCAGGGCCATCAGGATTGAAGGCACAAAGCCTACCTCCACCTTCTTCCACTACTCTAGAGGTTCCCTCAACCAAGAAGGAGAAGGAGAAGAGGTTTAGTCTGTTCGCTAAGAAGAAATAAACTCCTGGATAGAATGTGACACAGGTGAAATGGAACAGATTTATAACACCATTTTTTTTAACATTATATTAATTTGTAAGAATTTAGCTATATGAAATGTAGATTACACTGCTGCCTGTATCTAAGCTAATCAAGTGTTGCTAATGTCCACACATATTGCTTTTTTATGTTTTGTTGTATTTTTCCTATACTAGAGTCACATACCACATTCACTTTGTATACAAATAAAAGCACAGGAACCGATCAAATTTAACCAAAAATATTTGTGAGAAAAAAGGATTTCTTTTTGTCTTGATTTTTTAATGTGTTGAGTTTCTTTAGGCATGCTTCAGTATGTATTTTGACTATAAATAACATGCATAGTTTTGTTAATCTGCCTTATTCCTTGAAAATGGTTGCAAATGTAATACTGTGCTCTTTGCATCGGAACTTATAGAATTTTAATAGAGTTTGACATTGGAGAGGTATTTCTTTTGTAAATGGCCATCAGCTAGCAGGAGGTGTGGTGATGAAGGTGTATAACACTGTACACTATGCTGTTAACATGCACTATATGCAATATGCACAGTGTTTAGTGTGGTTTTAGACTGTCCTAGGTGTCGTATTTTTCATTATTCCAACAAACATATTAATATTATAATAATATTATATTCAAATGTGAACATATTAATGCTATTATGTATGAATGCATTAAGAAGCACAGCCATGGTACTTAAGAGAAGACAAAGATGAGAGGGGTAGATTTATTATGGTGCTATATCTTTAAGATAAGAGTTTTATCCTCTCATGACTCAGGTTCCCCAGTATGGCTGTCGCAGGCCTAAATCACATTATAAATACCCTTACACAAGGACAGCAAAACCATTATAAGCACTAAAGTGTATGTCTCACGTCATCATAACAATGATTAAAATTTGAAAGATATGTGTACAGCTTGGATAATGCAGTATAAATTAAACTTGGTAGCCAATGAATGTTTGAAAACATGGAGAACAGTGTGTCATACAAATATGAATATAGAAATAATGGTAAAGGGGAAATTGTACCTGTAACAAATAATAATAACAAAACTTCCTAAATACATTTAACTGAATGCCCATATTCAGATCATGCAAATAAAATATTCATTATGCTTACTTATATTTTATCTGTCACATACGCTTTCGAAATTGATCAAAACAGTAAAACAGTACATCGTCTGATCTACTGATTAGATTTTAAGTGCCCTATTTCCAGTCTTAGTTTTTTCGTAGTTTTTACTGTTTCTGCCAGGCACTGCAAGCTAAAAGTGTTTTTTTTTAACCGTAGTTTAATTTAATCTACAAGTACTTTCAGAATACGTTTACTTGGTCAGTGTGGTGCTTTATTAAGTTGGTGATTTTATTGGGCCATTACATCTTGGACCTCCAAATCTCTCAGATTTTTTTGTTTTATTTATTTATTTTTTGCAGTCTATGTTAGAATTAACTCCCTTTCAGAATGCTTCCATTCTCTATTCTCCTTTTATATCTATATGTTCAATGCAAAATCACATATAATAAGTTGAAAGCAAGGTATGACTCATTTTAGGAGTATGAAAATCAATAAACTCTGTTTGCAGTAACCATTGCCCCTTGTTGTCTGTTAAAGGACTTGTAGTGTGTTTATGGCTGAGCTTTGTTAGCCTTGTTTACTCTCCAATTTAGTGATTATTAAAACAGTATAATCAGGTAAAAGTTAAGTTAAACTATTTTCACCAAGTAAACTTAGTGATTGTGATTGTTATAATATACTGCTAATATACTGATATAATATACTTGTCCTGTAGAAGACAATGCTCAGAAGTGTGAGAATGAGAAAATAGTGATGTGTTTAATTCATGACGTTCGTGGAGAAAAAATTTGAACATATTTAAACTACTGCTAACAGTAAAACAGTACATCGTCTGATCTACTGATTAGATTTTAAGTGCCCTATTTCCAGTCTTAGTTTTTTCGTAGTTTTTACTGTTTCTGCCAGGCACTGCAAGCTAAAAGTGTTTTTTTTAAACAGTAGTTTCATTTAATCTACAAGTACTTTCAGAACACGTTTACATGGTCAGTGTGGTGCTTTATTAAGGTGGTGATTTTATTGGGCCATTACATCTTGGACCTCCAAATCTTTCAGATTTTTTTGTTTTATTTATTTATTTTTTGCAGTCTATGTTAGAATTAACTCCCTTTCAGAATGCTTCCATTCTCTATTCTCCTTTTATATCTATATGTTCAATGCAAAATCACATATAATAAGTTGAAAGCAAGGTATGACTCATTTTAGGAGTATGAAAATCAATAAACTCTCTGTTTGCAGTAACCATTGCCCCTTGTTGTCTGTTAAAGGACTTGTAGTGTGTTTATGGCTGAGCTTTGTTAGCCTTGTTTACTCTCCAATTTAGTGATTATTAAAACAGTATAATCAGGTAAAAGTTAAGTTAAACTATTTTCACCAAGTAAACTTAGTGATTGTGATTGTTATAATATACTGCTAATATACTGATATAATATACTTGTCCTGTAGAAGACAATGCTCAGAAGTGTGAGAATGAGAAAATAGTGATGTGTTTAATTCATGACGTTCGTGGAGAAAAAATTTGAACATATTTAAACTACTGCTTAACAATAGGACGAATTAATAAGTGAACGAGTTTCTATGAATGTTTAAAAAAGATGTTATACAGACTCAAGATTCTCTTGACCATGTTCATGACGTTCATGGAGAAAAAATTTGAACATATTTAAACTACTGCTACTTAACAATAGGACGAATTAATAAGTGAACGAGTTTCTATGAATGTTTAAAAAAGATGTTATACAGACTCAAGATTCTCTTGACCATGTATTAAACAAATGACATATTTTGGATTCAAAAACGATTATTAAACCTACAATAATCCTGGAACCAAATATATATATATATTTTTTTTAAAGTTGCATTCAAAACTTGACAAAAAATGTAGGTGGACATGAATCTACTGATTCATGCTCTTAATGAATAAATGCTTCGACCCAGTGTGTGTAATAATAGTCCAAATCGGATCATTTTAAAGGTAAAGGATTCATAAAAAGCACGGAAATGTGGTAAACAAAGTCTTGTTTTTCGAAATGTACAAAAACATGCGTGTTACCAGCTGAGGGTGCCATCGAGCTGCACCGTTGGGGTCTAATTGTCCCGACAACAGTTCTGGCTGTTGGTTACGTCATTTTGAACGAAACCCAGTACCCACGAGTCCGCTATTGGTCGATTCACTGCCCAGCCGCCTGAGGATCCTCGCAGCTGATTGGCTGTTGAGCACGTCAATCTCCTGTGCTGGTCGTGCGGGTACAGGTTGAATGCGCGGCGACAAAATAACCCTTAGCAATCGCTGAGAGTAAATGGAGAGAAGTCGAACTTTAGTCGCGCAAGTCCGCATAGACTGTAGCGTTTTTTAAATGTATCCTTAACCTCTCACTAGTTGGATTGCAAGTCATTTAAAAGTTTTAAAACTGTTACCTCAAAGGATGTCTTTTTATTTCCAGAATGGATTTGATTCGCGTCCCTTGCATTGTTCTGCGGCGGACAGTAACGTGGAGTAAAAGCCTTAGAAGAATCCGACGCACTTTGTTTTTTTATTTATTTCTTTCTTTAGACGCACTTTCAGCAAACTATTTTAACTCTCTATTTTAACCCCAAAATGGATATTACAGTGTCTGAACTCATGTCTAACTTCATGGATTCGCCGCTTGTGGTTTGGGTAAGTCACAAAGACATGATGGCACCTGCTGTGTGTGCGGAGTTTGTATTTGCGTTGTGTAGTTTGTTCAGCAGCGGCCAGTGACAGTGCAAAGCTCAGGTATACTAAATGTGGGCTGGATGCTTTATGTTTGTATCATACCTAGTGGAAAAAGACTAACGTGTTTTCCATTTAGCAGATGTGTATGAGCGTATTAAAATTGTTTAAACTGTATTGCAACATTTTATTTTTATCCCCCCCCCCCTACATTTTACCTAGTTTTTAATACATATAACTAAGTGATAAAGTTGTATTTATTTATTTGTTTTATTTTTTCTTTATTTGCCTACTTATGTAAGGTAATTGTTTTTACAAATAATAGTTATTTTTAAGTATATATTTTTGTTAATATTTTTCTACAAATGCAATTTAACAAATATAATGTATATATATATTTTTTCTAAATGAGTCCCAGTTAGATGTGATTTAAATGTGAGTAAACCTGTACACACAAGAGCATAACATTAGTACTTTATGTGCACAGTACTACTTCATCCTACATGAAGAGTTTAATGACACTTGACAGGGTTTGGCGAAACCTGCAGAACTTCCTCTGACCCCCTTACCCTGACCCCTGTGTCCTGTATGGCTGCTTTCTTTGGCCACTGTGTTTCTAACTCATATGTCACCATCTTAACCCACATTAGACAATCATCAAAACTACCATGTTGACATGTGTGCTGTTCCATGACAAACACACACATAGTAAGGGGAGGACAGTTATGTTTAGTCTTTAGAGTTGAGCACAGACTGTTTACTACTATTTACTTAAAGGGGTCATATGATGCGATTTAAATTTTTCCTTTCTCTTTGGAGTGTTACAAGCTCTTGGTGCATAAAGAAGATCTGTAAAGTTGCAAAGACTAAAGTCTCAAATCCAAAGAGATATTCTTTATAAAAGTTAAGAGTCAACCACGCCTACCTA